ACAGTACACAAGGGGTGTTTCTCCTCACTCTTAATCCTTCATCCCAGTGCCAAGTTGTTTCTCCTGCGAGAATCTGCTCTCTACCTGATTCCTGTCAGCTTTCACGTCTCTGTTTGCCTTCTTCCCCTTCTGATCTGTAGACCTCATGATTTAGCAGACGGGAGTTGTAACAATCCTCTGCTGCATCATTTGCTCCGTTTCTCATCACAGCCCTTTCTGCTCCTTGAGCCTTTGATGTCACTTCGTTTGATTGCCCTGTTTTTCTTGCAGAACCCCCTGGATCTTATCTTTCTTTCTTTTTTTTTTTGTTAAATTTATTGCCTTACTAGCTTGAGCAACCCCACGGTGCTGACCACGCTAACTGTCTCCACTTTTTTTTACAGGTCTTCAGCAATCCGGCCATTGGCACAAAGCCCTGTAAGCTGCCTCAGCTTAGCAGTGGGGTAAACCAATCAGGTGGCCTGAGGTCTATCCCAGGAAGGAGCTGCTTTATTAATCTGACGGAGGGATAAAGAGGAAAAGGGAAGGGATAGACAGGTGCATGTATGTCTGTGTCTGTATGGCCACGAGGGGTGAGGAAAGGGGTGTTTAGAGCTGTTTTTTGTTTTTTTTTCTTTAATCTTGGGGCAATGTAATGTTTCCTTCTTTGCATACTGTTACTAGAGAGAGAAAACATGGTGTGTTAGAAGGTCACGGTGGGGTCATGTCCTCCCTTCATAAATCTCTGCATAATCAATCTATTAGGGAGTGTGCAAGGTGGATGGAAAACATGGAAGAAGTCAACATGATATGCCAAAAGGGAACTGAAACACAGGCTGCTTCCTTTTTTGGCTAAAAAGCAAATGTTAGAGACATCACTGATGTGGGAAATTCTTCAACACTGCTTAATCTTAAACTCAGAAATCAATCCCAAGCATGTTTTCTGTTTGTTTGTTTTTACAAGAGTAAGAGTCTACAGGAATGCCAGCAGCCCTGTGAGGCTGTAGTAAGGCAGAGCAAAGCTTTGAGCTAGCCACTGATGTGCTCACTAACATTTAGTCAGTTGTTTTGCAGGTATTCCACCAAAACCAGTGTGTTGAACAAATTCAAACTGTAACCTGAGAATTAAAAGATGAAAACTCAGGAGATCGAAGTGGCTATAATTGATTCTTTGGGGACAAAGAATGTTTGTGCCAAATTTCTCACCAATACATTCAATAGTTGTTGAGCTATTTCATGAGAAACAATAAACGTTAACCTCATGGCAGGAAGAGAACAATGGCTGACGATCACCAAAGTCTATAGAATGAATTGTCTGAGAACCACGAATGTCAAACCAAAACTTCCATCCTTCAAGTACATGTTAAGATATTTGTAATCATGGAAACTATTCCTCTGGCACCATTAGCATTCAGGGGATCAGTAAAGTCATTTGTATTGTTTGGACATCTTGAGGAATTTCCAAGAAAAGCCATCCAGTAGTTGTGAAGGCATTTCATTCCAAACATTAAATGTCCGATCAGTAGGATTTGTCTTCTGGAGATCATGAATGTTTTTACCAAGTTCTATAAAATTACATGATTCTTCAGCCTGTACCAAACAATTGAACTGACTTGTATTGCCATCCCTAATGTTGTGTCATTATCATGAGTAAAACAAGTTTATTTTTTTCTACAAATGCAAAGACAGAACTCTCTAGTTTACAGTATTCAATACAGTCTGAATAATGGATTTAAACAAGGCTAGACTTCTAATTAAAGTTCCTGATGGATTTTAAAGAGATTAATGGTTCATTTCAGCAGCACTTTGACATGGTGGAGCTTTGAACTGTGCCTGCATTGGTTTGGATTAATGGCATACTTGGGAATGATGGGACACGCGCTCTGTGGCATGACAGCTGACGTTGAGCTAATTAACACGCTGTGGTTCAAAGCGGTTGTTGGTATGATATGATTAAAGATTTGAAACGACGTACTGGATTTTTTCAGTGAGAGATTTGCTTAGTAAGTGAACTGTCAACAGAATATGGGAGCAATTATGAAGAAAAACAAGTGTTAACATTTGAACTTAAACTGGGAGGACTTACTTTAAAGGAGGATCATCAATCCATGGTAATAACGATGACATGACATATCCCTTATAATCAATAACAAGACATTAATTGCTTTTGCTCTCAGTGCAGGTTTTGTTGATCTACTGTGGTTCAAAATTGCTCTGATTCATTTAGCAGCAGCAGCAGCAGCAGCAGGTCATTTCTGCTTTTACATTACTGCTGACCCTTCAAAATGAATTTGCCAATGCAGTTATCTTCAAATTTATAGGTATTTGGACTGTCGTAGTAATGCACTTACGAGCAGCCTAAAACTGCAATGATATGTGCAGCGGAATAAATCAACTTCACTCCATTTCCTTGGAATGTATATCTTAGGAACGATTCATATATTTTTTGACTCATCGCTTCAAGCAGTATTTTATGTCGAACTCCTGAGAGATGACCACGATCAATTTGCACAAAAGCTCCAAAAATAAAAGTCAGCAGAGTGAAAAACAGCATTAACAACTGTTGACTGGAGGTTTTTGTATATTTTTTATGTACAGCAAATTACAACTAGGTGGTCTAAATCCCCCCAAAGAGGGGCGACATGCAGTTTAAGGACTACGGCTGTATAGTTATAGTGGCAACCTGAACTCTGGCAGTGTAGGATGTAAAACAAAAAGGACGACATGTCACCCAGGGAGGGTGCAGAAAAATATTAAAAAGCCTGTTTTTGCCACTCACAGTTAAAGGTGAAGCTGTGACCACTGTATGCATTTCCCAATCAAATAAATATAAAGACAGTCACAAATGATTCAGAATCCCATACTATACATATAAAAAAGAGAAAACAAGCAATATTAGTACTGCAATAGGGAAACAAAGGCAGATCATTTGCAGTATGCGTGTACACACACTGTCATGTCAGAGGAAAGATATTTGTTTGAGGCAACAATTTTCACATATGAAATGGAAGACAAGAAATAAGAAATATTTATCATAGGATATGAAGAGGCTCAATGCTGAGTGGCTCATAAACACTGTCCTAACGCCCTCTAGTGGTGAATTTTAATAGAAGCAGCTATGCAGTAAGTTTCATTTCTCTGATGCTCTGAATGAGGTCATGCAAAATTATATACTGATAGAAAACAACAAGAACTAAACATTCACATGAAGTTTTCAGGGGGTTTTTTTTCTGCATGAAGGTGGCGAGAGTGAATGGATGATCCACACTACGACCTTAGGGCTTTGTGCTTTTAAACAAAGGCCATTGAAGGACTGTATGGGGCAACTCCCATGTTTGCATTTCTGTTGAGAGAAACAAACATGGGTGTGGAGAGGTTATATATGTACTTGCAAAGAGTAATTTAGTACTCTACTGTACAGCAGGCCTCAGGATAATGAGCGAGATGAAATCTGATAATAACAATTATCCAGAACAAGAGATCAGGACTTTCCTGAAAAAAAGGAGAAATGTCTCTCACCCAGGATGAGGAAAGGTAACAAAAACAATCAAACCAAGAAATAAAAGCATCAACAAAGAGCCAAAAGTAGCACTTGTGCTTTCTTCACATGTACTTTGAGGTTCAAATTCTTTAGTCAGTGGAAGCCGTTTACTGAGCATCTAAACCATTTCTGCCTTTGTGTGTCGTCTGTTTAAGCAAATCACATGCCAAAGGTAAGTGCATGACTCACTTAGCCCGAAAAACGCGTTGACCCATTTGTTCACAGCTGCTGTTCTTAGAACAGAAACATCTATTTCTTGGTCACTTTCTTTGGACGGTGCAGTGTTCATATTTAGCGTCCTGTGTGACTATAATAAGACACAGGCCGTACATTGTCATGTATTTCTGTGTCACCTGATCTTTGTACCGGACACATAGGGTACAACTGCACCTGCCTGCTTTCAGATCCTGAAAAAGTTATTTGTCAAGTAGTTCAACACTGAGTGTGTCTCGTGAAATAGAAGATAAAGTCTGTTATATCCTATTATCCATATTGTGACAAGCATGGTTTCTTTTACAGAACTCTCTGCAATATAGAAAAAAATACAGGCAAGAAAAAACAGAACCCTCCAGCCCTGGGCCACTGTTTATTACTGGGCATTGAGATTTATTACTGGTGATAATAATAATACTATGACCTGTACACTGGATTGTAAAAGGCCCTTACAGTTATTTTTATCATGTGACACTACTTCCTTACTGTCTTGTATTCTGGACTCTTACTCACTATAAAACCTCCAACTTGCAGAAAAATGTAAAGCTGGCCTCAATTTTTATCCTACGGACGATTCAAGTTGTTAATCTGAATTCTTATTTTACTTCCAGCTGCTCTTGTTTTAGTTTATTCATGCATATATATGTTTTTATTCATTTTACTGACTTTGTTTAGGTTTTGTTATTTGAGTGCCCACATCTTTGATTTCCTTGCTCAGCTGCATTGTGCATGAGGCTTCCTCACAGCACCTCATTGCATTCTGAGTTCAAAAAGGTTAAATAAAGCTTAAAATATGTGTTGGTGCAGAATCTAATCCATGACTAATGTTTTACAATTTAAAGGCAGAATCATTCTGCTATTTTAATTCAGTCTCAAAGATAATGAGTAGTGAAATTTAAGTATAAAATCCAAAATAAGATAAAAATAAATGAATGTATAATAATAATAATAATAATAATAATAATAATAATAATAATAATAATAATAATAATAACTCAAGTTTAAAAAAAATCTAAACAAATCTCTAAAACCACAACACATGGGCAATAAGACAGTCCAGGCAACATTAACGGTGAAAAAGGAGATAGGGAATAGTTTATGTTCTTTGGAACTTATGTAACATTTTATTATTAAATATTTTCACCATAATCCCAGCTGACTTTGCGCCTCCGCCATGTCTTGCACATCTACTCGCATATTTACGGTAGTTACCCCGCATGAACTCCGCAGTTTGTTTTGGACTTAATGCTGCGGGAATCACAACAGACGTGAAGTCATTCCTGACATATTTAATGTTTGCAGATGAAATAATGTCGCACCCACTGAAACAGGTTTACATGGTTTAAACGGACGCGCCTCCCAGCTGGCACGAACTCGTTCACGTGTTCATGCCTCTGCCGCCACAACTGACTTCCACCAAACACCTACCAAAGTCCACAGAGATCTGATCGGGCTTTGGGAAAGTAGCTCTTCATGCCAGATGCTTGCTCACACCGTGACTATGATTTTTTTTTTTTTAATCTCGACTTCCTGAAAAACGTGGACATCCTCCTGCACGAAATGGTTAATCCTCCACTGGATCAACGCTGATATAGAAATGAAACCGGAGTTTCCTGTTTCTCATTTCCTTATTTTGTTGCGCTGTTGCCACAATGCCTGGTTCTTTAGGTTTTTAGACCAAGTTGACATTTTTCAAGAGCAGAAGCTGAGCTGCTGGAAGTGAATCACATCTGTCTGAAGTCTGGATGCCCCACGTGATGAGAAGCAGTAGAATTAGTAAGTGTTCTGCAGGTATTGTATCTAAGATCAAATCCAACCTCAGAGAGTGTGAGATGTCAAAGTCACACATTTAATGCTATAAATAACCTACAATCCCAGGTATAATCAGCAAACTGTGGTGTAATAACAACAGCCTACAGGATGTGTAGTATGCCAGATACTGTTGTAATGTCAGGGATGAAACAGAATTATGACTTTTTCATCTCTAAAGATTCCATAATCCCGGATAAGGCTGCACTGCTCTATATTATTAAATAAGCAATAGGTAAAATGACTACATGTAGTAGTGATGGTCTTGTTTCTTTGTATACTCTGTATTTTTATATCAACAAGCAATGCAATGACTATATGTAGAGTTAAAGGTGTCACTAGTCATTATAAAAATGCTAATAATGAGGAGCAGCCGAATGGTCTGCCTGCATCCTATTATCACTCTGTTGCAGGGGGAAAACACTCGAGCTTGTTTGTATTTATTTAACCCTATTCAGGACTTTCATGCTGCCATATGTAGGAAGTCTTTCAGGATCCACCGGACCCCAAGAAAGAATATGTGCAAAATATTTGTTGGTATTCATTATAGACTTTTATACTATGTTAAATACATTTTCTGATATGTTGACGTATTTTTGGTTCCAAATACATGACAAATGTCCCTCTTTTTATATTTAAAAAAAAATCTTCAAAAATAAAAAAACAATACTTAAACCAAATAGGGTCCAAAAGACGCCAAAAGTCCTGAACAGGGTTAAACCACTCATGGTTATATCGGGCACAGCTAAACACAGGATGCCACCATGGTGTTCCCCATCATTCTCTTTTCAATTGGTGGTCATTTCTCTGATTAGCCTGTCAGCAGAAAACATCCCACAAACAAACCCTCTAACCTCTCATACCTCTAAAATCCTGCTAACAGAAGATTGAATATCAGACTTACATTTTGTAAGAAATACAACTTAAAATATGCCCTGATGGTTCTCTGCAGGGCTGCAAGGTAGCTCAGTGGTTAGCATTGTCAACTAGAAGATCCGTTAGGACACCCAGGATCTTTCTGCGTGGAGTTTGCATGTTCTCCCCGTGCAGCGTGGGTTCTCTCCGGGTTCTTCCTCCCACACAGTCCAAAAACATGTTGAGGTTAATTGGTGATTCTAAATTGTCCGTAGTGTGAATGTGAGTGTGCTTCTGTCTCTAAGTGTAGCCCTGTGATAGACTGGTGACCTGTCCAGGGTGTCGCCTGCCTTCACCCTAAGTCAGCTGGGATAGACTCCAGCCCCCCGTGACCCTAGTGAGGATTAAGCGGTGTATAGATGATGGATGGATGATTCTCTGTATTAACTGAATGTGCCAGCAGATAAATGTTAATGCGAACATGTTTTCCATGAATATGTCAATGTTCTTGTTGTACAAATGCTTAATGTAGGTTAAAGCTCACATTTTATTCTCTCTTCTTAAAGATTCTTGAAAGATGTGCTCCCCTCGTTCCTGTCTGCTATCATGGGCCCTCATCATGTGTTGTTTAATGATGGGACCGTCCTATTACGTGGCCGCCGTTAAGAAGAACTCCTGCCACGTGCAGGACGGCCGAGCTGACTGCAGTCACCTCAGCCTTCGGGAGATTCCTCCGGATCTTCCCACAAACATCTTCAGTTTGGATATATCTCACAACAGATTGGTGGGGCTTCCCCCTGTGTCGCTGAAGCTGTACCCAGGTCTCGTCCACCTCGATGCCAGCTACAACAGCATCTCCAAGCTGGAGGAGGGTTTGTGCCAGACGCTGCCTCTGCTACAGACACTGAACCTGAAACATAACCAAGTGCATTTGCTGAAGAACGAGGATCTGAGCCATTGTACCAATCTGATATCGTTGAATATGGCCAGCAACAGGCTGAAGCTGGAAGGAGAGCCGTTCTCTGGGCTGCAGGTACAGTACACCGTTGTCATAACCAATAGTGACATGACGCATGTGATTAGTAATGAGGTTCAGTTTTATTGGTGCAGCACCATTTCATGCACATGCAGTTAGTGCGTCATTTGTAAATTATGAGGCCTCGGGACACAAAGAAGGAGCTGTTCCTGCAGGTCGGAGGAGAGATAAATAGATGGGACGCATCAAGAGTCATCATGAGCAGAGAATTGTTGATGTTTAAAGCACCGCAGTGTAGGATCTATTGCCATACAGCCTGTAGGAGAACCTACAGTGGCTGCTAAAAATGCTAAAGGCTTCGTGTAGAGCCAGTGTTGGGTTTGTCTGTTGCTGCTGTCGAAACATGACTGCACATGGATAAGGACCTGCCTCAACGTGTGGGTATGGAGGGCTCACTGGAATGAAAATGTCTTTATAAATGTTATATTCCATGTCTGCCAGCAGATCTTCCTAAATCCTACACTTTGGACTCTAAATAACAAAAAACAAAGAAAAAAAAAATCACAATATTCACACAAATTTAGCAGGAGGAGGCATGCAGACAGCTGTCTAGAGCATGTGGCTTTTCTTTCTCTCTTTGTCCGATTGACCTTCCCTTCACTTCCCTGTCGTTGTGCTTCTGTCTGCGCATTGCCACAATGGGGAGGAAATGGAATTAGGACTGAGTGTTCACTTGCATACCACAAGAAACAAAAGGGTTAAGAAACCAAACTAAGTGAGATGTTCTGTCTGTCAGTCTCCTGCTGCAGAAATGTGCTGTAATTGTTGAACTTCAAACACACAAAAACACTTTGCTGGGATGTTGGTAAATGTAATGTTCTATACAACATGGAGAATAACAGAGTTTGTCCAGATTCTCGAAGGAGAACCACAAATGTAGCAGCTTATATAGTGAACAGAAACTCAGGAGCGTGTTTTTGTCGCACAGCATACATAGTTTTATAAGTTTTAATCCTGTGAGCAGTTTTTTGTACCCTATAAGAAATGCTGGGTCCAACTTTCTAAAGACAAATTTCAAAACTAACATGATGCTTCACACACTTCAGGCATCACCGTGTGACCTGAGTGTGTCTCACTTTTTTTATAATCCGATAGAAAATGTATTCAAAATAGGCAAACACTCAATATACAAGTGATTTCAAGAGGAATTTAAAAAAGAGAGAGAGAAAAGATAACATTAACATTATTAAAAGTGTATGTACAGATTTTGACAGTGGCAGAGGAGGAGCTGGTTTTAAGCTCGGTGGTTGTGGATCCTGACAGGATTTTACACAAATTACACCATGGATGCAGTCTGCAGTACATTTTCTTAAATCCAGTACTTTTATGCAGTACTCGTACTTTCCTTGAGCATCACCATGCTGTTTTATAGCTCGACTCAGGACAAAAATATTGAACATTTACTCTACTTGATTTATTTGGCAGCTCACGTGATTGGTTACTTTGGAATTTGTTTGTTTTTTTCCATATCAAAATCTGCTTTGGGGTTGTTTTTTCTCTGTGTTTTTAGTTCTGATCAAGCTCTAGTTTACTAGCTTCTGACAAGAAAGCAGAAAAACCTATATTCCAGAAGTGAAGAACTTCTTCTGCAGCTGTTTATGATATAATAAAACATTTAAAAAATGAATAAAGGAAGAGAATAAGATAAAGAGAGTACAAGCAGTAAAAGAAGAACAGGAATAAAATAATATGTAAGGACTGTAAAGATGATGATGAATTACTGAAACAAAACTTAAACAAAGAAGTTATGAGTTTGTGAATAAGTGATTATGGTGTAGGTGCAGCTCAGCAGGAAGGTTGTTCATGCTATAGGAAAAAAAATGACGTGTGTTATCTCTGTATGGACACTGAGGACCAGAGAGAAGTGCTGCCTTTTTATACAGGGGTCACGTCTGAACTACGCTGTAGAGCAAAACCAAAGCATCTCTTTCAGGAGTTCAGTTGTTTGATATGCCCCTCATGCACTGAAATAAATGAGCCCTAACTCTGTTTTCATTCTCTGTTCATAATTCACAGAGCCTGAAATTTCTTGATGTTTCCATAAACAAACTGCAGTCAGCCACGCTTGGCTCTCAGCCACAACTGCCCAGATTAGTGAAGCTCAATCTGGCATTCAACGAATTCACCGCTCTGAAGAGAGAAGACTTTTCCTTCCTCAACCAGTCATCATTTCTACAACTCCTCAACCTGTCATCAGTGCCTCTAAACACAGTAAGAAACGTACCTAGAAATGGGAAATGAAATGTTATTGACGAAACTGGAACTATCCGTAGAAAGTAACTCTCGTACCACCTTGCTTTCAGATGTTTGTTTTATTTCCCTTTTTTGTCTCACGATAAGTTTTCTCTGATTTGTTGCAGCTGGAGACGGGTTGCTTTAAGCCTATTTCTGGCCTACGTACTTTAATACTGGATGGGAGCAAAATAGGCACTCGGGTCATTTCCAAAGTCTGCTCAGCCCTTTCTGATACCGCCATCGATGCCCTGTCTCTTAAGAAGATGAATCTGATCACGCTGACAAACACAACCTTCATTGGACTGAACAAAACAAATGTAACCTTTCTGGATCTGTCCAGTAATAGCATGAGTAAAATTGAAGATGGCTCATTCCAGTGGCTGCCTAAACTTCAAACTCTGATTATGTCCGACAACAACCTCAAGCGCCTGACCAACAGCTCATTTATGGGGCTCGAAAGTTTAAAAAAACTCCAGCTGACAAAAGCACTGGTGAAAAGCTCCTCCAGCCCCATTATCAATGACTTCTCTTTCCAACCATTAAGCTCCCTGGAGAGTTTGATATTAGCAGGAAATAAAGCTCTGAGGATCACAGAGCACACCTTTACAGGCCTGACAAGTCTTACAGAACTTGATCTGAGCGGGAGTAGTTACACGTCACTCAAATACATGACCAACAGGACCTTAATCTCACTTGCGGGTTCACCGCTTACAAAGCTGAATCTGATAGGAACAGATATAAACCTCATTAATAATGGAAGCTTCTCGTTTTTGAGAAACCTCACCATTCTTCTTTTAGATTACAACTTTATCAGGCAAAGTCTCACTGGTGGAGAATTTGAAGGCCTGGATAAGGTTCAGGAGATTCACATGAGCAATAACTATCAGTCAGTTACCCTGAGTTCTGGATCATTTGTTGGCGTGCCCGGTCTTAGAGTCCTGACTTTGGGAAAAAGTCTGAGAGCTGAAGCTTTGAACCAGGATCCCTCTCCATTCAGGTTCCTGTCCAACCTTACCATCTTGGATCTGAGCAACAACAACATTGCAAACATCAAAGAAAGTATGCTGGAGGGCACTGTGAACCTGAAGGTATTGAAACTCCAACATAACAACTTAGCCCGGCTGTGGAAGAGTGCCAACCTTGGTGGGCCAGTGTTTTTTCTCAAGTATACGCGGAATCTGATAAACTTACAGCTGGACTATAACGGATTTGATGAGATTCCAGTGGAGGCTCTCAGAGGTTTGACCAGCCTCGAGGAGCTAAGCCTCACCAACAATCTCTTAAACAGTCTGAAGGACTCCGTTTTTGATGATCTGACCTCACTGCGGGTTTTACGTTTACAGAAGAACCTGATCACAGCAGTGAGGCCTGAAGTGTTCAAAACTCCTATGAGCAACCTCAGCCTGCTTGTCATGGAAAAAAATCCGTTTGACTGCACGTGTGACAGCATCCTGTGGTTCACGACATGGTTGAACAAAACAAATATGACCAGTGTGCCGGGTCTCAAGGACCAGTATAAGTGCAACACCCCGCTAACTTACTTCAACCGCTCCATCATGGATTTTGACCCCCTCTCTTGCAAAGACATGACCCCATTTCAGGCTCTTTACATACTGAGCAGCACAGCTGTCATCACGCTGATTGTGATCGCACTTCTGGTGCGGTTCCATGGCTGGAGGATTCAGTTCTATTGGAATATACTGATCAATCGCACACTAGGATATAGTGATGCCAAACTTGAAGAGGGCAGAGAATTTGAGTATGATGCTTACGTCGTATATGCAGACAGAGACGCCAGCTGGGTGGAGAGAAGGCTGGTCCCTTTGGAGAATGAAATGTGTCGGTTTTGTTTGGAGGATCGAGACTCAGTTATTGGCATGCCACAGCTCGAGTCCATCGTGGATAATATGAACAAGTCCAGAAAAATCCTGTTTGTCGTCACTGAAAGTCTTCTCAAAGATCCCTGGTGTAGACGGTAAATCAAACATACACTACTGGAGTTATGCTTTATGATTATTAAGTTAAAGCCAAATAAAATGTAAATATAAACAGTACTGAGCAAAAGCTTGAAACTCTAAATGTAAAGTGGGGATGCTCTCAAATGCTATACCACAAATAGCCTCATCAAATCAGTGTTTGATGGTGGTGCTACTTTACAGCAACAGGGGATGAACCAGTTTTTCCAGTATATTTGCTCACAGTTTTTAAAGGTGGTAAGTAGGTATTCCAGCATTTTGGAGAACGTGCCACGGTTCCTCTGTAGACCAAGGCTGTCTCAGTTGCTTCTGTTTCTTCATGTGACCCCCACACTGACTCCATGATGTTAAAAACAAGGCTCTTTGTTTGCTCTTGTTGTTTTTTGGCTGAAGACAGTTCTGTATGACTCAGGCTGTATATTCAAACTGGTCCTTCTGCAAAAATAAATTTAGGACCAATAAGATGCCTCCTAATGGTATTGCTTGATTGATAAAAATCAGAACCTCTAAAGCGCCTAAAACTTTTGCCCAGTTCTGTATATTTGAATGCTGTGATGTCTAGTAAAATCTACATACATCTGTATTATCAGCGACAGAGAGAATGTTGTCCTTCTTGCGTTAATTGCTTGTCTTTTCTTACCCAGATTTAAAGTCTACCAGGCACTTCACCAGGTCATCGAAGCCAGCAGGGACTCTGTTGTTCTGGTCTTTCTACAGGATGTGCACGACTACAAGTTGTCTCGCTCCCTGTTCCTCCGCAGGGGCATGTTGCGTTCATGTTGCGTCCTGGACTGGCCTGTCCATAAGGAGAGAGTACCGGCCTTTCACCAGAAGCTCCTCATTGCGCTCGGCATGACTAACCGACTGCAGGACTGACTTTTTCCTTGTTAATAGTGGAAAATTTGATTCATGACAATAATTACCTATGCTTGTACAGTTTGTGTAATTGTTTCTAATTGCTGATTGTTTTCCTTCTGTGTAAATATTTGGCTTATATATGTGCTTCATACTACTTAAGTCATGTTGTGTTTGAAGGATATTGTGGCTGTACGTCAAAAGTCCAATAAAGTCACATGAATATCTCAACTACACCGTGGAATGTTTTTTTTTTTTTTTTTATAACTTACTAAAACAGATTTGCAGGCGAACACACACACACACACACACACACACACACACACATTATATTTTTAAACACGATCCAGTGGTCTGGTTATTTATTATTTATTAACCACATATTAATGATTTACTGTTGTTTACTCATTTGCTGTATTTGTAACATCCACCCCAACATTTCTAGAATAAAAATCAATCCCAGCCACATTTTCAATTATAAAACATCTTAATGAAGTGTTTCTGCTCATATGTTGCCATAGAAAATTTGCGCCTAATACAAATCACAATCACACTGGCCTAAAATTAAAATAAGACATGAGGGCTTTAAAAATTCTGTTGTCCTGACATCTAGTGGCTATAGTAGGGAATTACAGAAACTGCTATACTTCAGTAAAACGTCCATTGGTGATGTGAGCCTGTGGACAACATGAAATACTGCTGCTTAATTTGGTTTTTTAAAGTTAGATATACACTATATTGCCAAAAGTATTCACTCACCCATCCAAATAATCAAAATCATGTGTTCCAATCACTTCAATGGCCACAGGTGTAAAAAAAATCAAGCACTAAGGCATGCAGACGGTTTCTACACACATTTGTGAAAGAACGGGTCGCTCTCAGGAGCTCAGTGAATTCCAGCATGGTTCTGTGATGGGATGCCACCTGTGCAACAAGTCCAGTCGTGAAATTTCCTCACTCCTCAGTATTCCACAGCCAACTGTCAGTGGTATTATAACAAAGTGGAAGCGATTGGGAATGACAGCAACTAAGCCACAAAGTGGTAGGCCATGTAAACTGACAGAGCGGGGTCGGCAGATGCTGAGGCACATAGGGAGCAGAGGTCGCCAACTTTCTGCAGAGACAATCGCTACAGACCTCCAAACTTCATGTGGCCTTCAGATTAGCTCAAGAACAGTGTGTAGAGAGCTTCATGGAATGGGTTTCCGTGGTAGAGCAGCTGCATCCAGGCCGTTAATCACCAAGTGCAATGCAAAGCGTCGGATGCAGTGGTGGAAAGCACACCACCACTGGACTCTAGAGCGGTGGAGACGCCTTCTCCGGAGTGATGAATCGCGCTTCTGGCAATCTGATGGACGAGTCTGGGTTTGGCGGTTGCCAGGAGACTGGTACTGGCCTGCATTGTGCCAAGTGTAAAGTTTGGTGGAGGGGGGATTATGGTGTGGGCTTGTTTTTCAGGAGCTGGGCTTGGCCCCTTAGTTCCAGTGAAAGGAACTCTGAATGCTTCAGCATACCAAGAGATTGTGGACAATTCCATGCTTCCAACCTGATAGAACAGATTTGGGATGAATTCGAGTGGAGACTGAGAGCCAGGCCTTCTTGTCCAACATCAGTGTGTGACCTCACAAATGCGCTTCTGGAAGAATGGTCAAAAAATTCCCAGAAACACACTCCGAAACCTTGGGGACAGCCTTCCTAGAAGAGTTGAAGCTGTTGTAGCTGCAAAGGGTGGACCGACGTCATATCAAGCCCTATGGATTAAGAATGGGATGTCTCTTCAGTTCATCTGTGAGTCAAGGCAGGTGAGCGAATACTTTTGGCAATATAGTGTATGCTTGGCATCAACATGGTAAGCTCATTTAAGATTTTTTTTTTTTAGCAATATTTGTTAATCAAATCCAATCCAAATTTATTTGTAAAGCACTTCAAAAACAACTACAGGTGACCAAAGTGCTGTAATCAATACATTAAAAAAAGTACATTAAAATACATAAAGAGTACATTATAATACATAAAAGTACACAATAAGTATAAAAAATTAAAAAGAATAAAAAACATAATCGCAATATAATAACAACAATAAAACAGAATAAAAATAAACAGGATCAACATCTCACAAAGTGTCAAAGGCCAAGTAAAAAAGGTGGGTAAACAGACAGAGAAGAGGCCTGTCTAATGTGCAGAGGCAGACTGTTCCATAGTGTTGGAGCTGCAACAGCAAAGGCATGGTCCCTTCTTAAGTTACAGTCGTCCTCAAATGTATTCATATCCTACCATTAAAGGAAAAGCAAAATTCACAATAGTTACTCAAACAACTAGAAACTGAAAAAAGCAATAATAAATAAAAAATGTGCTAAACTATAACTTAGTGAAATAAGACATTGTTTTTGAGTTGTGGTTGAAAAGAATAACTAAAAAAAACAAAACTGCTGTAAACTGCTCTCATTTGTCCATGACAAATGAGAGCAATGAGAGCGGACCAAAATCCAAACACCTGTCAACAGGTGCAGAAGTCTGATTGAGAGTTACAGAAAACACTTGATTACAGTGATTGACTCAAAGGGTTGTTCAACAAAATGCTAGTTTACGGGTCCCATCATGCTTGTTTACTTGTTTTGTTGTTGTTGTTTTCTTTTTTTTTAAAAAGGGCATTTCTGTTGAACCACAGTTTAAAAGCAATGTCATCATTTTCATTACATTTTTGTTTCTTATTACTTTTGTCAATTTCAACTTATTTCAGTAACAGCTATTTTTTCACTTCTTTAATGGGAGGGTATGAATACATCTGAGGACGACTGTAAATGAACATGTGACAAATAAACACAACTCTTGAAGCTTGAACTAAAAGTGCAAGTTCCCTCTCTACACATGTAAGCATTCATTTGAATCTCCCCATGTCTTCTCATTAGCGTCTGCAGCACCTTCAAATGCTCAGGAGCCAAAGTTTGTGACCTTTGAAACCGGTCTGTATCGCTCTCCAGTTCTGACAACATGCACCTCCTGTCAGACTCAGGTCACCACTCAGGGCACCTTCAGAGTCGGGGCTCACGCATGGCTCATGTGTCTCGTTTTTTTGTCCTTCTTTAATGGGAGGGTATGCATACATTTGAGGACGACTGTACATACTGACTTGAAATGAGTACATATTAAAGTAACTTCTGTGCAGGAAGTAACAACAGTCTGTGAAGCAGTCCTCTACCATTTATTGCAGATCCTCAAGTCTCGTTTTCAATTAAAAGGCCATTCCTATAAATAACAGTGAAAAACTTGTACTGTATAGTCTGTACATTCAGTCGCCTTGAAAAGGTTCCAGGCAGTCTGCAAGATGCTAGACAATCAGAGTGGGAAAAATGCAGAGCAATGTTCCGCAGAGTGGTAGGTAAGCTTTCAGAAAGATTATTTTATTAAGTTCCTATGCGTCCTCCCCTTCCTGCAAAAGTTTTGATATGAAGACATTTTTCAAATTGCCAAGGTGTATCATATTTTATGTATTCAATTAAGAGTTCAGTTACACTTGGTGGTTATTTCCCAGCAGACCGGGATGGATTATTGTTTTTTCAGTGGTGTGCCGTCAAGGCCTTCTCTGCTCCATCAGAATTACTGACTTATGTTGTAATATTTTCCCATTAATCTTTTCACATTATTCCCAATAGTCTGCTCTCTTCATTTCATAGTGTCTCTGGGCTGTGGTGCTTCCAGCAGTATGTTTATTTTAGAGCTTTTATCCAATCGTATGTCAGCCATCATGTGTTGCCAGGGTCACAGAAATCTGCCCTGAGGAACTTCAGAATCAAAGACGCCTGTAGCTTAAAATGCATTGTAATGAAACTGTTGCTTTAACCAATCAGATTGAGAGTTGGTGGTCCCGGGGCCAGCTAGCAGCACTCTGATTGGACGGTCAGAGAGCATCTAATTCCAAATAAGTCATGTCAAGTCACAGCTATTTCTAGTGCACATATTAAACAACAGCAGTTGAGCAAAAGGGCGTTCCAGTAGAAAACTAAGATTTAATTAAATGTTTTTATTTTATTTAAATAGCGCTGAGTCGCAACATAAGCAATCTCTCGACGCTTCACTTAGTAAATAATTCAAAAATTATAGAGAGAAACCTCCAGCAGAACCAAGTGAAAACCCTACAATAATATTACATATACAAATGTTCTTTAATTTATTTCCTGAGGGCAAATCCCTACAACATTATACATAATGCATGGAGAACCCAAATTGAGATTAAAATTTGTATTGAGCTGAAATTTATATCTCTTCCATTGATTGCAGTATTTCATGGGTCCCAGCTGTGAACAGCTCTGATCATAAAAGGTACATGGTGGTAAGATAAGGCTGTTATTTATTAACCAGTCCGGCTTGTCATGATAAACAGTTGATGTTGATGAATGCAAGGAGAGAATAAGTCGAACAAAGGTCTCTTGCTTCCACCAGTCAGCTATCATACTGTGAATAATTAACATTTTTATGACGTAATTTGAGTCAATACAATTCACTCTGGGGTTGTTTTTCCTCCATATTTTAGTATTCATGTTTGTCTGTCTTCTGTATGTTCTTCTCATGCATTCTGTAACATTTCCTCATCTACCCCAGGGCAATAACCGGCAATACAACTCCGTGGGCCCTTCGAAAAACGGAAGTTGTCCGTGGATTGACAGCAGAGGGGAGGAGGAGGAGTAAAGGCAGGGCCCACGTCACGCTCTGTTAATAGCAGCAACACATGAAGACAACCTGGTACTGACATTCAGGCACAACCTGAACATACACTCTGCAGCAAAGATGGCGGTATTGCTTGGTAGTTACACTATACCTGTACTTGGAGTTAGCATCGTCATCGCCGCTCTGACCTACATCACCTACAAGCTGCTGAGCAGCTACCTGCACCAATGGTTTGAGATGAAGCCTATCCCCGAGGTGGAGGGAACGTACCCCATCATCGGAAATGCACTGATGTTCAAGAACAACGCAGGAGGTAAGACAGAAAAGGAGGCTGCAGAGGCTGATACACCGATGACGCAATCACGCTTTTATTTTTCTGTTAGTTAACATATTTATATTTTCTCTTTGTTTCAGATTTCTTTAACCAAATTCAGGAACTTACCCGTGAGTTCTCTGATAGGCCGCTGTTTAAAGTCTGGATTGGACCGGTCCCATTTGTGGTTCTGTATCACTCTGAAACTGTTGAGGTATGCTGACAGACAATTCCACATACACAGCATGTATACAATATCAACAGGGGTTACATGACAAGCATTCTCAGAAAAAGATTAGGATTCAGTCATATGTGGAGCAGCTACAGTCAAAGTGTTGGTACAGGCACAACTATAAGAACCAAATATACTGCAGGACTTTCATTTTAAATAATCACAGCTTTCATGAAGTGGAAGCTGCCGCACTTAAGCCAAATTCAGCCCGACAATTTGGGCTGACCTTAACCTTAGGATGTCATTGCACTTTTACACAGTGCTGCAGACTGCTGCGCCTCTAACTGATATGTAATTTCTACTGCTAACCATTCCAGCATTTAAGTCAAGTCAGGCTTGTTTTATTTATGCGGCCTGATCACAAATTTGTCTCGAGGGGCTTTACAATCTGTATAAGTTCCACCTGAACTGAATTTGCAGTATACAATTAGACTAATCTTGTATGCTTACAGAGTCATACTAAATAAATCACTGCAGTCAAACCCGGCCGCTGTATGGTTCATCCTTTTGACTGTGTACTAGATATCTATCTAAAAAAAAGAAGTATCTGTTTCAAATGTTATTGCTGATGACATGTTGTTTTTGTCTACAAACTGACTTTTCTAGCCCATTTTGACCAACCCAGTTCACATGGAAAAATCTTATTCCTACACCTTCCTCCATCCCTGGCTTGGAACTGGTCTGCTCACTAGGTAAACCTATGGATACTAAAATTCCTCTCAGTAATTATCAGGGTCCATCAATAAGGAGAAAGACAAATACACGTGATCCAAACATGCAAGCTCAGATGACTGCGTTTAAAGAAAAAAGTCATGACAACGGAATAAGTGAATAATAACATAATAGCATGTTCTGAAATGTGTGACATTATTTCTCAACCACCAAGCAGAGGGTGGTGCTGGAAAAAAAAATCATGTCGTGGCCAAAATATAGTCTAGTATAGTTGGTAGCGGTTGGTAGCACTGTTGCCTCGCAGCAAGAAGGTTGCCGGTTCGCATCCCGGTGGGGGCACCGGAATCTTTCTGCATGGAGTTTGCATGTTCTCCCCGTGCAGCGTGGGTTCTCTCCGGGTTCTCCGGCTTCCTCCCACACAGTTCAAAACCATGTTGAGGTTAATTGGTGATTCTAAATTGTCCATAGGTGTGAATGTGAGTGTGCTTGGTTGTCTGTCTCTAAGTGTAGCCCTGTGATAAACTGGTGACCTGTCCAGGGTGTCTCCTGCCTTCGTCCTAAGTCGGCTGGGATAGGCTCCAGCCCCCTAGTGAGGATTAAGCGGTGTATAGATAATGGATGGATGGATGATCAAAAGCTAAGGATGTATATGGAATGGACACATACATGTTGAAACAAATAAGTCAGTCAGTTACCATTCCATTAACACACATTATCAATAAGGCACTCAGTGAAGGGATATTCCCTGAATCATGGAAACTTGCACGGATCATCCCAATATTCAGAAGTGGCAATCCAGAACTAACCTCAAATTATAGGCCAATTAGCATCCTACCCACTGTGTCCAAGGTTTTTGAAAAACTAATAGTTGAACAAATCACCAAGCACCTCAATAACAGCTCCTTTCCATTGCATCCAATGCAGTTCGGATATAGGTGCAATCATTCCACAGAAACTGCAATGTGTTGTTTTCTGGAAAAAGTCAAGTCGTCAGTAGACAATGGGGGACCAGTGGGGGCATTGAGCATTCGATACAGTCAATCATTCCATTCTTTTGCAGAAACTTTCAAATTTTAATTTTTCCACAGAATGTATTACTTTGATCAAGTCCTAGCTCTCAGCCCACTCACAAGTTGTTCAAATAGATAATCATAACTCCCATGCTTTGCAAACATTTACTGGAGTACCTCAAGGCTCAATTATTGGTCCAGTTCTTTTTAGCATTTATATTAATGATTTGCCATTGGTTTATCAGAGTTGTACTCATGTACGCAGATGATACTGTCATCTTTGCTCATGGTAAAACAGCTGAGGAGGTCTCATCAAAACTAACAGACGCAATGGCACTGGTCACATCCTGGCTCCAAACCTCCTGTCTGCAACTTAACATATCCAAAACTGTATGCATGTTTTTTTTCAAAAAAAACAATTTAAACATTGATCCAGATATCTCAATAGCAGGACAAAAACTACAGGCCGTTACAAAATTAAAATATTTGGGATTAAATTTAGACTCAAAACTTAGCTTCAAATCGCATATTAGAAAAACTTGTAATAAGGTCAAATACAGTTTATCAAATTTTAGGTTCATTAGAGACTGTCTATCAAGTGAAGCTGCAAAAACATACTTTTTTGCCATGATCCTCTCCCATATCACATATTGTGTCATAGCTTGGTCTAATTCACATGCTACAACAATCAGTCCCATAAAACCATTATATAAACAAGCACTGGATAAAAAAAAACCTTACAGTTATCATCATTGCCACATTTTGCAGAAATATAAACTCCTGAGCTGGGATAATCTGGTAAAATTTAAAAATGTTTGTTTAATGTACAGAATTAAAACTGGTTCTGCTCCCCCTTCATTGAATGACTTTATTAACTTTAGATCGAGTAGAGGCAGAGTAACCAGGGGGGCAGTGAGGGAGGACTGCATTCTCCCCCGCCCAGAATCTGTGTTTGGCCAGGCCGTCTTTTCATTTAGAGCATCCCAACAGTGGAACACAGTGCCTGAAGTGATGAGAGAGTCTCCATCATTGTTTTCATTTAAAAGGAACGCCAAAAGGTGGCTGCTAGAGACACAGACCTGTGAGCACTAACTGTCACAGGAAATGTAAATATACTGGTTGCATTTTTTTTTTCTCCCTGTATTTTTATTGTATGTGTAAATTGTTATGTGATGCTAATTTTTGAAAATGTTTTTAGGCTGGCTTTGACAACTGCCAAAGGGACTAAAAACTGAAAACTAGCTTAATTTAACTAACTCGGGCACGTTTACATTATACAGTGTTGATTAATGTGCATTGTTCCTTGTCAAATAAATAAATAAATAAATAAATAGACCTGAGGATGGGAAAAGGTCAGAAGGTCACCACAGTCCACGTGGTTTGCTAACAGGGAGTCTTGTGTTTAAAGTTCCTATTTGTGAACTGAGGATCGAACTATAAAAAATAAGAGTGGAGCCACTGTGTTTAGAACACCAGTGCTCTTTAGATGTGATTATTGTCTTTGAAAAACAAAACGAGTGATATAAAAGGTCAGGGGGGTTCATCAAAAAGCATTTCCTCGCTTGTGACAGTTAATGTGCACAACAAACCTTCTGTTCTGAGCTATCGCTAATCCCTGTTGCAAGTCAAATGAGAACACAGGTCCTACTGGTGTCCTCTTTAACTCAAACCATTGTGGATTGTTTTCCTTCCTTTGACCAGCACTGGGACTAAGTGGCGTCAGCGGAGGAAGATGTTGACACCCACCTTCCACTTCTCAATCCTGACGGACTTCTTGGAGGTAATGAACGAACAGGCGGAGGTTCTGTTGGGGAAGCTGGAGAAGCAGGCAGGGAAGGGTTCGTTCAACTGCTTCAGTCACATCACCCTCTGCGCTCTAGACATCATCTGTGGTAAGTATATCAAAAATTGATCCCAGTGTTGTGGCTAATTGTCACCTTATTAGATTAACCTAATCAAAATCATGTCGTTCTGTTTATTTTGCTCCGTTACAATTTTCATGGCATTTCTGCCCATGCAATGTCGTATAACAAACAAACAAACAAACCGACTGTTGTTACATATGTAAAACTGTGCAAAAAGGTGTATAGTGGAAAGAAATGATTAGAAACTACAAACGTCAGCGGGAAAAGAAAACTACAGTCAACAAAAATTGTCACCACACACTCATCCTGCCTCCATGCTTCTGAATGATAACCTGTGCCCAGGTGAGCACACACCCTTAACAATCAAACCAAAAGTGACACACACCCACCAGCCAGTACTAATACAAAGCACACACACCTCACACGTCTCACGCCTCACATGGCTCCTCCATTCAGTAAGAAGCAACTAGACTTTAGGTTCTTGAAGGCCTCTCAGCCAAGAACTGAATGAGTCAAGAGGTAAAACATCTTCAAGAACCTGAAAGAAAAGTTCAGCTGATTTTACTGAAGCTCCTGAAGGACTGAGAATCGATACAGGCATAAATCAAAAGTGCTTCTGCACCTGTATGGATGAACCTTTTCTGGACATATTTCTGCATTCACACAAAGAAAAATGTCCAAAACCTTACTTACCTTACTACAATGTTCATTTATATTTAGATGTTCAAACACACCTTCATGTCATTCCAGAAACTGCAATGGGAAAGAATATTTATGCACAGAGTAATTCTGATTCAGAGTACGTTCAGTGCGTGTACAAGTGAGTGTTTTTTTTTTCTCTCCATTTTTTGTCCTATAACACAAATACAGAGAACGATGAAAGCTCTGTCTTATTTGTTGTCTTCATCTTAACGATTCATCCTTAGAATGAGTGACATCGTGAGCCGCAGACAGAGGAAACCTTGGCTTTGGTCCGACTTTGTGTACAACTACTTTGGTGAGGGCCAAGAGCACGACAAGACGCTCAAGATCCTCCATTCCTTCACATACAAAGTAAGCGCTGGAGCCAGTGGTTCCAAATCCCACTAAAACATTCACTCTGTCCATTTATAAATGAGCCTTTTCCACTTTATCCCATCGAGCAGGGCTATTCAATTCAAAATTCACTCGGGCTGGATTTTCAGACTAAGCTGGGCGGGACATTTTTAGCAGACTGTGAGTAAAGTTAACCGTTTAAAACAAACACAAAAAGATAAGATAACAAACACACCGGATGTTTATTAATGTATTGCCACATCCAAAGGACATAAACACAATAGAAGAGCAGTGCTTAAACTAAACCTGTGCTGAAATATTCATCCATCCATCCATTATCTATACACCGCTTAATCCTCATTGGGGTCGCGGGGGGCTGGAGCCTATCCCAGCCGCCTTAGGGTGAAGGCAGGTTCACCTGGACAGGTAACCAGTCTATCACAGGGCTACACTTAGAGACAGACAACCAAGCACACTCACATCCACACCTACAGACAATTTAGAATCACCAATTAACCTCAACATGTTTTTGGACTGTGTGGGAGGAAGCCGGAGAACCCGGAGAGAACCCACGCCGCACGGGGAGAACATGCAAATTCCACGCAGAAAGATTCCGGTGCCCCACCGCACGCGAACCGGCGACCTTCTAGCTGTGAGGCAACAGTGCTACCAACTGCGCCACCCTGCAGCCCTACTGAAACATTGCTTCTTTAAATTTTACATTTCAAACACATAACTTCAACACGTTTTGATAGGTAACTACAAGCACATGTTAAGGTGCATATGAACATAAAAACAAAGTGCAGATTAGAAACAACGTCTTTTGTTTTGGTCACATCTGGAAGTGCATAAAAAAGTCACTTGCTTAACAGCAACTTTTCAACATTTGAGGTAATTTTTTTCTTGAGTTTGTCTCAGTCCATATTTGGTCTCATCTCAGACAGTCACATCTTGAGTGCATATAATCATAAAAATAAAGAGTGGGCACAGTGACACAGTTCCTATCCCTTTGAAATGAAGTAAAGCTGACATCAAAGTGCATAATAAAGTGCAACTCAGTGAAATAACTGTGAAAACAAAATGTCTTTCTTCAGTATTAAACGTATAATAAGTTAACAGAAAATAGTCACATAAATACATAAAACTACAGTTAGTTTCTGCTACAGCACGCTGCTTTGTTGCACTTAACACTAAGCATTAACATAACATTCAACAACATTCAGACTTCAATATAGTATCTGATAAATATAATAAAGTTCTATCTATCTATCTATCTATCTATCTATCTATCTATCTATCTGTCAGAGACCAACGAGAGCTGTTTTTTTAAAAATTTTTTTTATCATGTTCATGTGTGAAAAGCTTGATTCACATGTAAATGTTGATCCAAACATACTGAGCAAGTGGACTGCAACTTTCTTAATGTTAGGGAACTGATGCACATTGACATTACACCAGAACCTTTCAGGTCCATTGCTGTGAAGCTCGTGAGCCATGACTTGGGATAGTATGAATTTCCCCTCATCAATAGAGGGGACCACTTCCTTTGCTCTGGTGGACAAGTCCTGGTGTGTTGCCACAGTGAAGGGCTTTTTCAGCAAAGCTCATCACATCTGTGAGCAGAACAAGCCTATCGAGTCGACTGGTAAAGTTGTCTTTCATGATGAAACCTGTCATCATGTCAGTGATTCGCAAGGGGAATGAGATGCATTTGCGTAGTGGGGGAAAATGCAGTATTCTGCCAGTGCTTAAGTCAGTTGTAAAAATGTCCAGTTTGACTTGGAAGGCACCCATCTGTTCTACAAGATCAATGACAGTTTTATCCCCACCTTGCAATCCCACATTTAGATCATTAAGATGCCTAAATAGGTCGTAGAGAAAGCAGACATCAGGCAATAAGTTGTCGTCCAATATCTGAGCTAAGTATGTCTCTGCTCTTTTTAACTTGCTGCTGCAGAGGAAAGTGGTTATCTCCTCCCTGAGATCACAGAAACGCTCCAGTGCTGTGCCTTTGGAGAGCCACCTTACGTCGTTATGCAACAATAGGTCCTGGTGCTCAGCAGACATCTCTGACAACAGCTGGCGAAACAAGCGATGTTGGAGGCTTGATGCTGAGCAAATGACGTTTATTATAGCCATCACATTGTCCATTGCTGATTTAAGATGATCGCTCAGCTTTGGGCACAATACAGTCTGATGCACAACACAATGCAGGGTTGTCATCTGAGGTGCAACAGCAGACCAACATGCAGCCAAACCGCTAACTTTTCTAGCCATGGATGGAGCCCCATCCCTAACAAGCATGCACACGTGCTTCATGTCCAGATCATTATCTTCAAAAACTGATGATATATTTTCAAACAGTATTTCACCTGTTGTGTGTCCATCTAATGGCAATAAGCCCAGCAGTTCCTCTTTAAAAACTGTCCCGTCAAAAAAACGGACGTACATGCACAGCTGGGCTGTGTCAGGTCTATCTGTGGACTCATCTACTGCTGCAGCCATATGATCAGCTTTTCTGAGCTCTTTTACCAGCGTCTCGAACACGTCTGTGGCGAGAATGTCAACCCTGTCGATGTTTGAAGTGTCAGACAGGAGTACCTGTTTGATAGCAGATGTCACACTCATCTTAACTTTATCGTCGGTTAAAACTTAATCCAGCATGCAGTCCTTCACAGTTTCTGAGTCTGTGAACGGCCTCTTTTTCTTTGCCAAGATCCATGACACACGAAGGGAAGCTGCTGTGGCCCTTTCCTGAGCTGTGCAAGTCCGCTTCATTGTAGTTCAGCTCCGGTTGCAAGGCGCAGTCAAACTCTGAATTTTAGCTGCCCTCTCATCAGATCCCGCGGGAAAGTTTGTCCGAAACGCAGCATGTTTTTCAGTGTGGTGTCTTCGGACATTATAGTGTTTCAGCACTGCATCGCATTCGTTGCAGAGTAAACACATTGGTTTGGCGTTCGGACTTGGTGGTACTTGTCAGTCCACGCAGGATTAAAGCGACGGTTTTCCTCGCCGATTTTTCGTTTCAGGGTAGAAAAAGAACAGAACGCTTTGGGTAACATCCTTAACCTCATTTATTTTCAGGTGATAAATGAGAAGGCGGAGAATATGTCCTACACCGAATCAGACAGCGACTCTGATCAGGGCGTGAAGAAACGAAGGGCATTTCTGGACATGCTCTTAAAGACCGAAGATGAGGATGGAAACAAGATGAGCCATCAGGACATTCAGGAGGAAGTGGACACCTTTATGTTTAGGGTTAGTGGCTGGAATATAACTCACACTATGAGTAAAACAAATACAGTTGTCCTCAGATGTATTCATACCCTCCCATTAAAGAAGACAAAAAACAGCTGTCACTGAAATAAGTTGAAATTTACAAAAGTAATAATAAATAGAAATTTAATGAAAATTGTGACGTTGCTTTTGAATTGTGTTTCAACAGAAACTAAAAACAAAACAAAACAAAACGACTTAGGGTGAAGGCAGGAGACACCCTGGACAGGTCACCAGTCTATCACAGGGCTACACTTAGAGACAGACAACCAAGCACACTCACATTCACACCTACGGACAATTTAGAATCACCAATTAACCTCAACATGTTTTTTGGACTGTGTGGGAGGAAGCCGGAGAACCCGGAGAGAACCCACGCTGCACGGGGAGAACATGCAAACTCCACGCAGAAAGATTCCGGTGCCCCCACCGGGACGCGAACCGGCGACCTTCTTGATGTGAGGCAACAGTGCTAACCACCGAGCCACCTTGCAGCGGCTCAAAGAGTTGTTCAACAAAATATTAGTTCACAGGTCCCATCATGCAGGTTTGCTTGTTGTTGTTTTTAATATTTCTGCTGAATCACAATTCAAAAGCAATGTCATGATTTTTATTACATTTCTATTTATTATTACTTTTGTCAATTTCAGCTTATTTCAGTGGCAGCAGCTGTTTTTTTTCCTTCTTTAATGGGAGGCTATGAATACATTTGAGGACGACTGTATCTATGCAGCTTTAAAGTCTTAAAAATGTGTTTGCTTTAAAAGTGTGACGGCATTTAACGGCCTCTACATTGCAGGGTCATGATACTACAGCAGCCTCTATGAACTGGGCCCTCCATCTGCTGGGCTCCCACCCCGAGGTGCAACGCAAAGTTCAACAAGAGCTACAGGAGGTGTTCGGTAACAGCAACATAACCTACCCCGCTCCATTCTCACTTTAATGACATTGTTTATTTTCCTGCCTGAAGCCTTTTGACTCATCTTTGTTCAGACTTATTTGCTCTTTGCAAGTCAAGGGGGGAGCTTATACTTGGATAACAGCTGTGAAAATCCTTGCCAAAATACACAGACAATAATTGAATTATTGTCAGTGCTGTGTGGATCCACTGTGGCCTCCATGCATTTTCCATGATGTAAACTAAATGCTAATTCTGCACCCATTCATGGACCTAAACTTGCCCTCAAGCACAAAAAAAAAACAACTAATTTTGTCTTTTTCCCAACTCTTCTATCTCCAGTGTAAACCTAATTACATTAATGCTCAGTGCCGAGTTTTATATCCAACGTCTTCTGTTAACAATTGTTGATTTAGAGCCATCATATAAAGAAAAATGATTGCACTAAAGAGTCTTGGCTCTTGAACTTAAGCACAATAATTTCGTGTGCTGTGCTGCATCCACTATTAATCTGTTCTTATCTATTCGGTAAGATAGGACAAGTTGCATTTACTGCATGTGTGCCACAGTTATAAAAGTAGAAGAAAGTTCAACTGCATAATCTCAGGTGGAAAACCTTCTGCCGTCTGACCTGTAAGAATTAGTTTGCACTGCTGCTACACTGTGGTGAGAAGAAGAATTTATTTTCTGTCTAATGTGCAAAGGTACATCTGACCGGCCTATTACCATGGAGGACCTGAAGAAGCTCAAATACCTGGAATGTGTGATCAAGGAGACTCTGCGGCTGTTTCCCTCTGTGCCTTTCTTCGCTCGCACCATCCGCGAAGACTGCCACATCAGTGAGTCACAGTTATTAATCACAAATCCCCCACGGTGGTGGTATCTTTTACAGGAAGTGGAAGGGAAGCCAGAGTTCCTCCTATATATATATATACATGCATATATATATATATTTATTCAAGATCTAGTTTTCTTTGTCTCATGACATCAGTTGTATGGTGTTGTTGCAATCGTCCTTTCCAGCACGTGGCACTGTGCAGCAACTTAATGTAGCATATTATGATCCTACATATTGGGCTCATGGCTATGAAACGCTCTTTTCTTATTCCAAATTGTCATTTGATCCACTGTTAATATGAAAACTGTAGAAAGTGCAGCTTTAGTCGTCCTTAAATGTATTCATACTCTTCCATTAAAGAAAAGGCAAAATTCACAATAGTCACTCAAATAACTAGAAACTGAAAAAAGTAATAAGAAATAAAAATTTGCTAAATTATGATTTAGTGAAATATAACATTGCTTTTGAATTGTGGCTGAAAAGAATAATTAAAAAAAAAAAAAAAAAAAAAAAAAACTGTCCTGGACAAATTAGAGCACTTTGCTGATGAGCAGTGGGCAAAAATCAAAACACCTGATTGCAGTGATTGGCTCAAAGGGATGTTCAACAAAATATTAGTTTACGAGTCCCATCATGCTTGTTTACTTGTTTAAAAAAAAAAATTCTGTTGAACCACAATTCAAAAGCAATGTCATGATTTTCATTACTTTTTTCTTTATGATTACGTTTGTCAATTTCAACTTATTTCAGTGACAGCTGTTTCTTTCCGTCTTTAATGGGAGGGTATGAATACATTTAAGGACGACTGTATGTCATGTTGGAAATATACAGTGAAGCAACAGCATCCAAAATCTGGTGTTTTTCGGTCAAATAAAGCGAGAAAATTAAAGTTTTTTTTTAGTAGAGGTACGAATAAGAACCACAGTGCTTTGGAAAGATTATACCTGAGTGATGTTGTTTTTGTGAAACAAAGGACAGAAAGCAGATTGGTCACAGTTTGTGCTCTTTTTTTTAACGTCTCATTTAGTTTTCTCATAAATGAAGCTGCCATCATTTACTTACTGATGCACCGTATGTTTACTACCAGGTGACCAAAGTCACCTCGTCACATTCATACAAGAGGTTTAGACGGCTTTTATGTATTATTTCTGTTACCGTTCTTATTCCCTGCATGACTCATTCCACCACCATAAGGTCCTTCTCAACCCACTGAAGCTTCAGTATCATCTTGTAAGCTCTTGTTTATGCGTATTTCTGTATGTGATGCTGTGTTTGGGGATTCGCTCTCTCAGTAGACCTCTCTTTGCTGTTTCGTTAAGAGCTCCCTCACACAGAATACTGTGTCTTCATTTGCAACAAAACGGAAATTCTCTGACGTAAAAGTCCCTGGACTTACAGTTTACATGACTGACTGATACAGCTTTGACTCTGTGCATCTGTCACAAGAAATTATGTGATCAAATGCAAGCATCATACTAAAAAAAAAAAAAAAAAAAATCCCCAGTTGTAATAAACCTGAATTATTCAGATTTCTAAGTCTGAATTATTAAATCAGTTCTTTACAACTGGGGGTTTAATGTTGTTTTTTAGTTCTGGCTATCATTCCTTGCACTCGCCAAACTGAGAGGTCAGTTCTAGGAATATGTCTTTGACAGGACAGCGGCGGCATCACAAAATCAGACAGGATGTTAGATCTCATGGCTTCCCCATTGGACTTAGTTTTCCCAGACGATGGCAAATGATTTAATGACAACAGTGTTATCTGGATCTTTAGTAAAGATAAACAAACTACCAATAAAAAAAGGTCTTATCTTAAAAAATACAAGACCCATCTTTTAATGTAGCCATCCCTCCCTTTGGCATTTAGTTATCTGTCAGGGAACTGAATCAAGATCCTACATGACATTTTTTGTTCTTGACTAAGTTGTGTTTTACTTGTAGAGGGCTTCAAGGTTCCTGTAGGTGCGAATGTCGTCATAATCACCTACGCTCTCCACCGTGACCCACGATACTTCCCCGATCCCGAGGAGTTCAGGCCCGAGCGTTTTTTGCCTGAGAACTCAGTAGGAAGGCCTCCTTATGCATACGTCCCCTTCTCAGCTGGACTCCGCAACTGTATCGGTGAGACCAGGAGGCTTTCACTTTAATACATTTAATAGCTCTGTACGTACTTTGGCTTTGAGTGAGGCTAATTAATTATTTGTGTTTTATTATAACGTTCTCCAGGTCAGCGCTTTGCTGTTATGGAAGAGAAGGTGATTTTGGCATCCATTCTGCGTAACTTCAACGTTGAAGCTTGCCAGACACGTGAGGAGCTTCGTCCAGTGGGCGAGCTCATCTTACGACCAGAGAAAGGCATCTGGATCAAACTGGAGAAGAGGACGCCTCAGACTTCACCAAACTAGTTCTGAGTCAGTTTGCAGAGGAATCTACCTTCCTTTGTATATTAACATCCTTACAAAACTAAACACTGTAATGTTAAAGAAATTAAAGCGTAAACAAACAGAAAGAATCTTGTACTTAAAGAATTCCATTAAAATGCTAGAAACAGAAAGCTTTAGGGACTTTATAGAGTAACAATGAATTACTTATAACAGTTAACTGCTCATTTTGAAACACATGACTGATTATTTACAGGGTGAAAATGAGACTAATGGCACTGCTGCATTGGGTTCCGTGACTATTTTCAAGGTCACATGCTTTTTTACGTAAAAAAAAAAGAAGAATTTCTCATGATTCAAAAACAAGCATCTTGCAAGTCCTAATATTTCATGACCTGTTTAGTGGCATTTCTGTTATTTTTGTCTGTTGCTGTAAATCTGGAGGAAATAAAGAGTATGAGACATGCTTTAAATGCGCAATATATTTTACTTTTCCATTATGTTTTACACTTATGTTGTGGTATTAGCTGGTAATGAAATCCTGAATCCTCCAACTCAGAGGTGCAGAACGAGGCTTAATAAATAACACTGTTACATATTCATTACATTTATACACACCCCAACAAAGATAAGCCTTTCATTTGTGCAGCATTTCCTCTGAATGTTAATTTTCAACCCCGAGCTGCAGTATTTTCCCTTGAATGACCCCATATTACATCTGTTTGTTTATCGCTGTAGATTTGCTAGATCATCTATTTATAGTTTCCGCCTACTTTCTGTCTTTGTCTTTACTTTAAGAAACTGATATTTCAGCATTATAAACATAATGATACCGATACAGAATGGGGCTTTGACTTTCCGCCTTTTTTCCCAAAGCTGCATCGGCCTTTTCACAGAAACATATTGACATGTTACAACAGATAAAACACAGTTGCCAAAAATGAAGCTAATAATGGCTGAATTCACTGATTCGCTGACGTATACCGACGCCCACACGGTGCTGACTATCACAAGCTACTTCTTAAACATACCCTGCTTTACTATCTATTTTACTTTAAATAGAGCTTTATCTCAGAAAATTAACAATGTGCAGAATTGAAGAAGTTGTAAAACTAGCGACTGAATCCATAAATTCGTGACTAAAAAAAATTTCCTGAGATAATAAATCAAGGAAGATGTTGGGTTTTCTCATTGACTTCTATGCAACTGGACTTATTTTTGCGGCCAGAGAAGTCACCCCCCCCTGCTGGCCATGACAAATAATGCAGGTTTAACGCACTTCAATTTCTACTATGCTTTTCAGACCTGAGGGCTGTACTATGAAGCAAGATTAGTGGGTTATCAAGGTATTTTGAGCTTAAAGTCAGAGGTTTTAGTGTCACAAAGGTGGCTCTCTTTTTACCCGGATAGAACTGATGCTGTGGAGCTAACCTGGTCGGGAGCAGGTTATGTTCAGACAGTTTTCTTTTCTTTTCTTTTTTTAAATTATTTTATTTATTATTGCTTTTTTCAGTTTCTAGTTATTTGAGTGACAATTGTGAATTTTGCCTTTTCTTTCATGGAGGGGTGTGAATAACACGACCGTATATTCCTCATTGTTCTCCATTAAAACAACGTGTTGACTGCAGCAGCTGCACACGACCGTTTCATTTTGTGCAGAAGAAGAGTCACGTGATGAGTTAAACATCCCTTTTTATGTGAACGTGCCCAGAGTCTGAAAAAGAAAGTTGATAATCACTTTCATGATACCTGTTATCTCTGGCTGGGGATTTAGGTTTTGTCGAGCCGACTTACACAAAGAAAGCCTGGCTTTGTCAAACTTGCTTCGTGGTACAGCCCTCTGGAGGCTATGTCCATCTTTTATATACAATCTATAGCAAATATAGATTTGACATCCAACACGGAGGATATTTATGAGTATAAAATGCTCCTACTTAAGTGTAAACGATGCCGAATATAACTTCAGCAGTCAGACGACATTTTTGTAAAACTTCTTCCCACTCATCAACCTTATGAGTGCACATTCAGGTTCTTGATTATGAGCGAAACTCTTTACTGACTGAACCGTATTGAGGTCAGAAGGTTCCATTGTAAGAGAAGGTAATCATAGCATGACACAGTTACAAATGACCCCATTCATTATGTCATAGAATGATTTAGCAGGCGTGCCTGCAAGGGTCATTGCCTAACACCAAAATGACTTAACTGATGATGAATAGCATGCCTTTTTCCAATGCTATTATTTGAATTATTGAACACATCTCTAATCAATGGCTGGATAGAGCTGAGGCGCCTGAGCTCCAAATGAAGCAGGAAGAGTTCATTTATCTGAGGATCTCTAATAAATGGCACAGATAAAGGAGCTTTAGTGCGTGGCTAGAGGAGGTGGGTTGCATGAGATTGCTTTTCAGGACATCATGCCTCCATTATTATCATAATGATAAAGCATTCATTCACGGGGTCGTGATGAGTCATAAACTGCAGTATCGAAACATTAGAATAAAAACATAAATAGAAAAGTATGCGAATGGTACCTTACACTGTGACACTGTTGATGTTCCTGAACCTAAAACTGGCAAAATTCAGTTTCCTATGTTCCGTTAATCAATTATTTTTTAACATACAGAAATATCGAAAAACAAAACATTTAACGAGAAGAAACTGGAAAAGCTGGAGATGCACATAACTGACCCCATTAGTCTGTTGAAGGTCCCTCATCTCTTCTATCCCCGGCTTGTTTTCTTTTACAGCCACCGCAGTTACATAATCGTTTTAGTTGCTCGCTGCAACAGCTGAAAGCTCTCTGTGTACAAAGGTATCTTGTGGTTTCTTCTGTCTGAAATACAGCATTTCCACACTGAGGACAGAATACTAATTCAGCAGGACCCACATGCACTTAAATTCTGACACCCGCATCATTGCAGATATAACACTTGGCAGGAGTGCAAAGGCGAACTTGCAAAAGTCAGACAGCAGCCTGTTCAAAGACTGTCTGCAGCTCCAGATTCACAAACAGCACTGGTTCACAACCTGAGGGCCAGGACCCCAAAGAGGTCACACAAAGAATATCATGAGACAATAAACAGGACAGAGGATCAATAAAAAACAACCATATTGTGACTATTCAACATTTAGTTCTATAATCTTTGGCTAGCTGTTATGTAATGCTGGACACTGTTATGTCTTCAGTCCTGTGAATAGGACGTAGATGAAATCAGCACTTAGCTCGCTGGCAGACACACCCATTTCTGAAATACCAAGATTACAAGACAGCAACCCCGTTAGATAATATTGAACTTTGTCAAGTTTCAGATTCTCTCCGTGGACTGGGATGGTTGCTTTTTAAGAATTTACTAGATTCAGATCATGTATAATGTTGGCACAACAATGGTGCATTTAAGGACACAAGAAATCCAAAAGAAGATATTTTCTGCCTTCTAAAACCTCTCAATGTGAAACTTCATATTATGAAATGAAACCAGCTTCTCAGGGTCCCGTATGAGCAGAAGAAACAGAGAAAATAGAGGCCGTGACCTCTTTAAAGCCCTACTCTCTGGATGCAGTCTGTGACAGGTGCTAGCTCAATTTTGAGAAGTTACAAACCAAAAAGTCTGAAGACCCCCGGAGGGAACGATGAGAAAAGCTTGAAAATTTAAAAAAGGATGCATTTCTGACACGATATTGTTACCTATATGAGCACCACTGTAAAATACACTCCTTGAGCAGAATCCACCAGACACATGCAAAACACTATGAAGTAACAATGAAAACAACATGAAAGGCTTCAATGAGACTTTAATGTCAGCGAGCTTCATCCCAGACACAGAAATGCCCTGTAGGGCTCTGTGATGAAATTAAATGAAACCACTTTGAGGAGAAATGTGATGATAGATTTTCCCATTTCACTTCCAAATTGAATTTTTTTTTTTCTTTTTTGGGAGAATGCATTATGAAATATTGTAACTTAACCGAGAACAAAAGACGCACCGTGCGCTCTAAGGACACAATAAGGTCGTCACATTTAGGACTGACGCCTGGCAACGTTTTAAAATGAGGATCATTAAACTGTCCTGCGTAGAGTGCAGTTCAAACCGATGTCCAGAGAGAGGCAGCAGTGTATGCTTTTCTAAATGTGTGCAAACCAAAGATAAGCAGGAGTTGGCCGAGTGTTGTACAGTGTGCGTATGTGTGTGTGTGTGTACGTCAGACAGTGAGTGAGGGCGCAACAACACAAACAGTATCTGCAGTTTTGTTTTTTTTTCCTTCCTCAGTGCCCGGCAGCTTCATGCTGATGTGAGTGACAGCTGTCTTCACCATGTGTACAGTTTATAGCCTGTGAGCTTCACATTTTTCGTGTCCTGACACTTGAATGACACATGATAAATGTGCAATGTTCCTTTAAAAATTTAATTAACACGTGTCCAGTCTCAGGGACATTGTAGCTCAGATGTATGAAGCCAGTGAAGATTTTTTTTTTTTTTTCAACCCAATTTGAGAAATATCTGAATTCCAGCATTTAAAAACTCTCCAGACACTGATTTACATATGACAAGACAAATCTGACTGTCAAACAAACACAGTGTGAGCAAAAAAAAAAGGCAGCCCAGCAGCTGTTATTTGAAACGGCACAAGCCTCTCAATAATCTCATGTCTTCTTGAAGTGACGGAACTGGACTGATTTCCTCCAAATACCTCCAGTCCTCAGACACAGCAACGCAGCTCATCTCCAAATAAGGTTTGATTTCTCCACCACCTACCGACTCTCACTTTGTAGTCACCTAACGGTAATAACATGGACAAACGGGCACTCTAGTAGGCTCAGATCGCACGTGTCTGCCAGCTGGTGGGATGCAGGTTAGACTCCTGCTGCATTCGTGCCAGCTCCTCTCCTGTTTCGTGCTCCATGAGCCTTATAAGGAAGAATTTTACCCACAACTAATACCCAGAATTAAAACGAAATGGCAAAATGGAAAATGAAAGGATGGGGCTTGTAGTGTTCTACCTTGTAATTATTCTCAACAACTTCTCTGAAGAGACTAAAACAAGAAAATGACCTTATCTTACCCACTAGCAGCACTGCCTGTGTAAGCAAAGCCAGATTTATTTCCAGGAAAAATAAAAACTAAACAAAACAACTAATAAAAGCATTGGAGTTTATTTGTTTTAATCAGATCAGTGCACCATCTTGTAAATAGTCACAAGGGCAGCAAATTAAATGTAGCTGAGGAAAAGTGCACAAAAGAATACCCAGCTAGGAAATTACTAAATCATTTAGAAAAAATAAAAATGCTATATACATTTGAAACCTGTTGGAACATTATGAGAAGGTGTTTTAATGTTTAAAAGTGCAACAAAAGAGATGCATAATTTAAAGAAGCCCTTAAATAACCTTTAAGTTGTTTACATTTTTGTACTTATATGAAATTTAATACAATTTTGACAAGAAAAAAATAACAAATATATCCTGAAACAGCAACATC